TTCTCAAAATTTACTTCTTTTTGCCAAGAACATGAACTGGAATATTCTAAAGAAGATGGAGCAGGAGAAAAATGGGAAATTGTAAAACATTTTATAGCCTGATATCTTCAAACTTCTTTACAGTCTTCTTTAAGGCACAATAAAATACAACTCCCTCTCTAGTTCCAATGTGTCCTCATCTTTAAAGTAAGCCTGGATGCCTGGAATCAGTGTGTGTGCGTGTGTGTGTTGTGTGACATTTTGTTATGTCCACACAATTCAGCTCGGCATTTTTTCATTCTAACTAGAACTGGTCCTCTTACTTCTAATAACATGTCCATTCTAAAGGCTTCTCAAACCTGTCATCGCTATGCTGCTACAAATGATGGAGATGAGGTTACCATATAAGTCAGTGTGAAGGTTTGGGGGCAGGGAGTTGGGACAGAAAGTCTTCTGGAGTCAGTCACGACATGCCAAGTGTCTTTATCTCTGGTAGATAGTTTTAAAAAAGTATCACATGGTTGAGTTCCCCCTGTGGAACCACCTTATCAGGGCTCCCTTGGCCACTGGCCTCTTCTTATCCCTCATACAAGGACTTTTTGCAGAACGCTTTGTTACTTTGCATGACTCTAGAATCAGAATCGCAGGAAGGAAAAGAATGCCACCTCTTCTTTCACATTTAGCTTCCTTCCTTTTTCCTTTTTGTGTCTCTTTATTGAATGCAAGTGAAAAGTAAAAGTTGTTTCTTGGCCTGAGATGAAGCCGAGAAGAAATGCCAGACGGCAGAGTTAAGGCTGAGGAAAGAGAAATTCCCTCCACCAAAAGTCTAGAAGGGTGAAAGTGAACCCTTCCTGTAGGCTCCACCATTAGTGACTAGAATTTTCCACCAAGCAAGTTGAATTAATTATCCATAGAGAATGGATGTGTTGCCCTATGTTGGATAAGTTCCGCAGGAGCTGGAAAGCCATCATTTGAATTCCTGCCCTGCACAGGTGACCGGACTCAAATGACTAGTAATGGATATATTCCTTGACTATATTGTTTGTCCTCCAAAAATTCAAGGCATTTTATATGGTTCCTTTTGCTACCATTTTTTTCCTCATAACTGACAAAATTATATTGAGACACAGCAATCTAGAGTCCCTTAATGACTTTTATTCAAAAATAGAATAGAATAGAATAGAATAGAATTCTTTATTGGCCAAGTGTAATTGGACACACAAGGAATTTATCTTTGGTGCATAGGAATCTGGGTTTGGTTTCACCAAACAAACAAGTTTGTATAATGTTTGTCCACTGCTCAACACAATATGTTAAGATAACAAATAAAATATCAAAATAGTTTTAGAGTGTAAATTACTATTTAGAATTTAATCTAACGGGTTTACTGTAAATTGTCTGAAAAAAGTAAAGTACTTTTAATTTCTTTCATTGTCTTTGGCAACTGTGCTATTGCATAACACAATTTAACTCAAAGTTAAAGATTTGAATTCCTTCCATGCCTAAGGTGACCAAACGTCCCGCTTTTGGTGGGACAGTGATGATTTCGCACAATTTGTCCTGCCTCCTGAGGCATTCTTAAAAAGTCCCGTATTTTTTTTTATCTTTACCAATGAAAACAGGCTGCAAGGGCAAGGCCGTGGCAGATACAGGCCGCCAGCGGGTCTTACTGATTTTCTAGGATACAAGTTGCCCACTACGTCCTCCATATTCGGGGAGAGACACTCGCTCCCGCCAGCATGATCACGCTGCAGGTTTTCAAAGCCACACTCTTGATTGGCTCGCAAACGTCACAAGAGACGGCTTCCGAAGGAGGACAAAAAGCACTGTAGCTGTGCCTAAAG